GCTTTCGGCAGCGCACTTGACTTTTGCTGGGCCTCGAAAGAACATGACAAAGACTACGCCATCCGGGAATCCTCCACCAGTGTCAAGATATTCCGCAATTTCAAGGAGCGGAGTGTCCTGAATGTAGGCTTCTCAGCCGACGGCTTGAGTGGCGGCGTACTCCTTGGTGTGAAGGGTCAAGGTGGCATTGGCCTGTTCGACTGGGACTCTGGTGCTCTGGTCCGACGGATAGAGGTCGAACCCAAGAGTGTATACTGGTCTGAGAGCGGGGAACTGGTCACTTTGGCTACAGAAGACACATTCTACGTGCTACGCTACTCCAGAGAGAACTACCTGGAGGCAGTGCAAAACGGCGAAGTAGACGAGGACGGCGCCGAATCTGCATTCGAGGTTGTGTGCGACATCAACGAGAGGTATGTTCAAAGAAGACATGATTGAAACCTTGAAGCTAATGATAAAACAGCGTTCGCACTGGTACCTGGGTTGGAGACTGCTTCATCTACACAAACAGCACCAACCGCCTGAACTACCTTGTTGGCGATCAAACATACACCATCTCTCACTTCGACTCACCACACTACGTCCTTGGGTACTTACCCCGTGATTCCAGGATTTATATCGCCGACAAGGATGTCAACGTGGTTTCTTTCGCCCTGTCTCTGGCAGTTGTTGAGTACCAAACGCTTATCCTCCGAGGTGACCTTGAAGCCGCTGAGGAGACGCTTCCTTCTGTGCCCAAAGACCAAAACAACAAGATTGCTCGATTCTTGGAAGGTCAAGGCTACAAGGAAATGGCGCTCAAGGTTGCCACCGATCCTGAACACCGTTTCGACCTTGCCTTGTCTCTTGGCGATTTGCAGCAGGCTGTTGAGATTGCTCGCGAGCAAGACACAGAACACAAGTGGAAGACTGTCGGCGATGCTGCCCTCACAAACTGGGATGTCAAGCTCGCACAAGAGTGCTTTGTGAAGGCCAAGGATCTCGGCTCTCTCCTTCTGCTTTACAGTGCGACGTCTGACACGGCCGGTCTTCGTGAACTTGCTGAATTGGCTGAGAATGCCACAGCAAATAACGTAGCCTTCTCTGCGTTATGGCAGGTCGGAGATGTCCAGGCGTGTATCGACCTACTCGTCAAGACCAACCGTTTCGCCGAGGCCGTCCTCTTCTCCCAAACGTACAAGCCAAGCGCGACGGCTGGCCTTGTCAAGCAATGGAAGGAGTCTCTGGAGAAGGAGAACAAGACCAAGGTTGCTAGACTCCTTGGCGCGCCACCCCAGGACGGCGAGGGCGACGCCGAGATGTTCCCTGAATGGGATGAATACTTGCGATTGGAGAAGGAAGGAGGCACTGTGGAGGATCTTTTGATTCAAGAAGATGAGGCAGAGGCAGAGGACGCGGACGAGGAGATTGCTGCCGATGCTGAAGAAGAGGAAGAGGAAGATGAAGAAGAAGAGGATGACGAGGAAGAAGAGAGCGAGGAGGAGAAGTAGGTGTGCAAGTAAAGTGGTACCGTGGTTAGTGGATGCATTCTAGCTGCAATTGGGCTTTTTGTCGTGTGGTTGCTACACGTAGCGTACGTACGGTAACGGAAAATGATACAAAGATATAGATGTTTAGCAAGCAGATGTCATGATCAAAGTTGTGAGTGATTTGTTGTAACATGATATAATGTGACGTGGTATCGCCTCTCTTGTTGGAGACATATGTCTAGCCCATGATAGTAACGCCGCCCATATATACGTTCGTGTCGTCTTGGTAACATTCCAAAATGTACAAACATTTTACAAATACTTCTCCCACACCAGACATGGGCAGAAGACTAGCTTTACCGCACGACTGCCTCTTCGTTGGCCGCGCCTTGGTATGCCGAATCGCGGAACCTGTCCTCGCCACTCGCTGTGCTTTCGCTGCTGCTCGCTTCCTCGGACACGGACTCCTCAGATGTAGTGTGCACTGTGCTGCGTACGCGTGCGTTCATCTCCTCGCGTGTATCGTCAACGGACTCCATTTCTCGCAGGCCCTTTCCGCGACCAAAGAAGTCTTCTGTACGCAGTCCACGTACATCGCCCTGGGCCATTCCTTTACTGCTCTTTAGGGTGCCGTCTGCCTTCTTCCTCCTAATGTACTCCCTGACTGGGCCCATAGCCGCGTCTCTACATGCCTCTTTGATGTCGGAACCGCTCATTCCAGCCGAAACGCGAACCAGGTAGTTCAAGTCAAAGTTCTGATGGTCGATTTTTGTGCCGCGTAGGATGAGGGAGAAGATGTTGTGGCGTTGTGTAGCTGAAGGGAGGGCAACGGGGAACTTCTTGGGCATGCGACGGAGGATGGCTTCGTCAATGTCTTGGATGCGGTTTGTGGCGCCGAGAATGCATATCCGCTGAGGAGTCGATGTGCCGGAGGAGGTGCTGGAGGCGAGGCCATCCCAGTGGGTCATGAATCTGGGGAAGGGTTAGTCTTGACTTGGTCGCGAGTTGAATGGAACGCTGTTGGAGAGGTGTAAACGTACTCGGCCTTGACCATGCCGCTGGCTTCATGTTCACCGCTCCTCCTCTGTCCGAGAACTGCGTCAATCTCGTCGATGAAGACGATACTTGGTTGCAGTTTCCTTGCCAGACTGAATACCGCGTTGACGAGCTTGTTGCTGTCGCCGTACCACTTTTCTGTCAGAGTCGAGATGTGCAGGTTGATGAAGCAGGCGCCCGATTCGTGCGCGAGGGCTTTTGCAAGCATAGTCTTTCCGCAACCGGGAGGACCGTAGAGGAGGACGCCGCTGGGTGCGCTGAGGAGCGAGGAAGAGTGCGAGTAGAGGTGGGGCATGGTAAGGGGGTAGATGACGGATTCCTTGAGTTCGTCGATTATCGAGTCGAGGCCACCGATATCTGCGAGGTGTCAGTTCTCCATTGCGCCAGGGCTTCAAGCATGCCAATTGGCATGCGCCAGATGCTACAGCCCAAGGGCCAAGCTTGAAGGAGCTTGTGACGTACCCTCGAAGCTCACGGGAATCTCTTCAGGCGCAACAACCTCCATGGCAATCGTCTGTTCGTAGGTGCTCAGGTTGAGGTCCTGTATCCTCGGCCGTCTGGGCCTGGATTCTGTGTCGTCATCTTCGCTGTCGTACTCGCCATAGCTTTTCCGCCGCTTGCTTGTAAGGATGGCGTCGAGTTTACGCGTCGCAGCAGAGGCTTTGGCGCGGGCTTCTTCTTTTTGTTGAGCCTCCGGGTCGAGGCGTGTGAGGAGGTTACGAATGACGAAGTAGGCTATCAGAGGCTACCGAGGTGTCAGAAGGTGCTTTGCAGGACAGTGAGGGGCAGGGCAGATGTGGGGAGGACACGGCGCATGTGTGGGAAGGGACGTACTGCTGCAGCTGCCATGAGGATGTCGGGGAGATAGCCGGTGAGGCTACTCTTCTTATTTGAGCTCATGGTGCCGGGTTTCCGCCTTCAGCGGTGCTCTGTGGTATGGATCTGGCGTGGAATCGTGCTCAAGAAGCAAAAGTCGGCTCTGAGAGTTGCTGCAGCGAGCGTTGTCGATGCCAAAACTAAGGTTCAGTCCAGGAACCGGCCCGCCACGACCATGGAACCTGCAGCCGCGGCTGCATTCACCTCCGGCGTCACACGAGCTCCGCTCCGCATCGGCATCGGCGCATCGCATGGCATCATCGCATGTCTTGAACGTCACAATTCACACACAACAACCACAGTCACAATGGCTGCCATATACAAACCTACCGAAGCGATTGCACTACTCCGTCCAACTTTCGTCCTGCCGCGCATACATGCCTCACAGCGGAGAGCGCATGTCGGGCGCATCGCCTTCTCCACTACCCACCATGCACAAGCTACACACAGCTCGACGAGCAGTCCGCCTCCAAAACCACAGAGGAAATCCATTTCCTTGACAGGCGACACGGGCCAAGTCCGATGGTCTGAGCTATCGCCGGGTGAAAAAGCAGTGCGGACTACACAGCAAAGTTTCAACTTGGTAGTAGTCCTGGTGGGCATAGTAGCAACAGTAAAGTTTCCCCTCACCCCACCTCTCTCTGCGAGCGCAACACTAACAACATATCAAGGGCGGCGTTGGCTACTTTCTCTTCTCCGATGTCTTCAGTCCCTCCTCCAAGACCGCCTACTTCAACCGCGCGACAACTATGATACGCCAGGACGCCCGATGTCAGAAACTCCTCGGCCCCGGCGCTGAAATTGCTGCATTTGGTGAAGGCTCTTGGTCGCGATGGGCGCGCAACCGCTACCTCAGCAGTACTGAAGAGACAGACAAGTGGGGCACAGAGCACCTGCGCTTCAAATTTTATGTCGAAGGTCCGTTGGGTCAGGGTGTCGTACATGTGCATTTGACCAAGCGACCAAGCCAGAATGATTACGAGTACGAGACGCTTGCCGTGGATGTCAAGGGGCATCAGAGGATTGATCTAGTAGCTGGGAACAAATCGAGCAGCGTCGCGCCCAAGATTTTTGGAGCGCGGTGGTGGTAAGATATATGAGTCTCACGGCGCATTGCGCTCTTGACGGATTTTCATGGTAGAGGCACGAGCCATTCTTCGTAATTCAACTTTTCACGTCCCCCCTTTGAAGAACAAACAGCCCGTTCTAGCCAACATGCAATCTTCTTTCTTCCTTTGTAAACGCCTTCTCGGTGCAAAATAAAATGGCTAAAAAGCAAGGGCAAGGTAGGAAGCTGTGCGCTCGCCTACCACGGACTACACGACTCTGTTCCTCTGCCTGGGCGAACTTGGGCAGCAAGACTGAATTATTCTGCTCCGTTTCTTACTTGTCCTTGCTCAAGCTGAGTCGCTCGTGGGGGCACCGAATGCGGTACACGAGCGCGGATGTTACCCCATGACCCATCCAAACTATCGAATGGAGCCCAGCCACGTTCCACATATGCGCGCCACAATCTTGTAGAGTAACCAATACAACAAACATCTGAATTCTGGCCAAGGAACATCATCCATCCATTGAAAAATCAAAGCATCTTTTACAATGGCCATATCCATCACATCCGCAGAACCCAAGGACGCACCTCACATCGCCGCCCTCCATGTCCAAGCCTTCAGTTCAAACGTCCTCATGCGAGCCATTTATCCCACCCCTGCTATTTGGGCAGCATTCCAAGGCAGTGTAGAAGAAAAGTTCACGGCTGACATACATGATCCTAACATGACGGTCCTCGTCGCCCGACATACTGATGAGGCTGGAACGGGAGAACAAGGTAAAATTATAGGCTACGCGGTATGGTGTCATCCTGTGAGGACCGAAGGAACAGCTTGGAAACCGCCGGCTTGGAAGCTGCCAGCGGGCACGGATTGGAGTGTCTTGAGGCCCTGGTTGGCAGCTGCTGGAAAGGTTTCGCGTGAGGTTATTGGAGATAGGCCGCATTATGGTAGGTCATGTTGAACTCGGCAAGATGAACTTTGCAACGGACTAATTCGTGTTGAAGATCTCACGTGGCTCGCTGTGTCGTCTGATTATGCTCGCCAGGGCATAGGTTCAATGCTGTTGCGCTGGGGTCTTGACTTGTGCGACAAAGAGGGTGTGCCGGCATGCTTGGATAGTACTGTTCAGGCAGCCGAGACCTTCTATCAGAAAGCTGGGTTCACAGAAAGGGGCAGGATCAGATTGCCTGTCAGCGCAGAGATGTACGAAGAAGTTGCTTGTGTGTATGAACCCAGACGATAGATGCTGCCACAATAGAATAGCGCTGGACTGCCTCGAAACCTGACAGTCCTACTCGCCCATGCCAATACCATCTCCAAATCTCCGAGTGTCTCGCCATAGCTCTGGACTCTTTTGGGCTTCTATGAGAATCTTTTTCTCGCAAGCATAGCCAGAATTGTTTCGGTCAATCTCTTCGTCATTACCAAGCCAGGATCATGATCTGGATTGACCTCTGCAACTGTTAACCCAATAACATTCTCGCTAGCCAGGAGTACATCCAAGGCTAACATCATGTTCGTAAACGTCACTCCTGTGAAGTTGGGGACATTTGCCAGAGGAAATTCGCCTGGATCGATGGAATCAACGTCCAGACGAACCCAAATAGCTTTGTGTTTACGCTCCAGGTGCTCCAAAGCATCACGCGCACGTGCTTGCGGATCGAGTGCAACCGACTGTGACGACAAAACTTTGAAATGCTCGTCGTGAAGATAGGCTAGGTGCTCATTCTTGTTCCCCGGGTGGGAGAGATTTGTCCCGAAGAAAACGGTGTTGTCAGCATCACAGAGCTTGTCGTGAGTGAGCACAGGGTCAGCGTTTGAATCAACAAGTGACCCAGGACGTCCCATGAGCTGCGTCATAGTCTAGAAGTTGGTTATGAAGTCAGTATGTCTCACGTCCAGTCTGTACAGGACACTACTAACCATGCTCGCAAAGTAGCCGTTCCAATCGGCATCCACTGGTGAATGCATATCAGTATCCGCATCGACATATACGAAGCCCACATCCATGTCGTATGATTTGTATTGTCTTTTAACGCAAGAGAGGATCACTGGCAGCATGCAACACTCGCCCCCAAGAACTAACTGGAAGGCATTGGGCTCTTGGTCGAAGTTCTTGGTCATTCTCCGTCGTACTTTGCGAAGGAACTCCAGATTATCAGCTCTGTTGCGGATGTCGTGCGGTACGAAAGGACTTGGTTGGTAAGTCATGGTTTCTTCGAGCACGTCTAGCTGTGGAGACGTATCATGGTAGCCCGAAGGCCCATTGTCGACAACTTCTATACCTGCTTGGAGCAGTTTTTGATGAATCTTGACTGCTTTGAAAGCCGCGGCTGCTCCGGACTTCCCTGGGATAATAGAACCGCAGTCTGCTGCCACGTAGGTCACGTAGACCTTTTGCATACTCACCATCACGGTTGCGTACGTGTGGATGTTGGATCTGACCGTTCTTCTGCCAGACGCTCAGAAGAAGATGATGAGTAGCTTCAACAGCAGGATGCTGTGAAGAATGTCGAGTTCAACTGACATGTTGCCCACAGGGCGTGCATACCAATGTCTGACTACCGCAGCAGCGGCACAGGTGCAGCCACATGACATCTTCTCCTACATGAAAGACTGTTGATTCGACCCTTCAATACTGTTATCAGACCTTGGCGCAAGCTGGAGTAAGCTACCTAGTTAGGCTCCAGACAAGAGATACATGTATAGCAACAAAGCTTCCAGAACTTGTATGCAGCACAATAATGAGTGACAGTATCAGTGACCTTATCGCTCGAGTGACTGGTTTTCAAAACGTGGAAGCAGAGTATGTGTGGCTGCCGTCAACACGATAGAACGTTCGTGGCTGACTAATACACCATGCGTCATGGTCTCCAGCATAGTGACCCTCGAAAAGCTGAAGATCTATGAACGAAGCAAACGAGGTACATGCTAGTCAAAGCTCGTACCCAGACGTATAGCCCGTACCGCGCTGCTAGTCCGGAGAGATGTTGCGCTATGATCGCAGTCAAGTGACGATACCTAATTTTCCGCCACGATGACTCGACAGTCCCTGCGCTTGCTATTCACCCGACGCACCACCAAAGAACAGAGGGATTGAGTGCACGCTTATGCGCACGCCCCATGGGGATTGACAATGTTGAGCTCGGGGATGCGCGCTGTTCTCCAAAAGCTGATGCAAAGATCCATATTTCAAAGATGGCACGGATATAACGGACTTGTTCTAGTCAGGGAACGCGCCAATCAGAGCAATTCCTTGACACATGGTGTCGCTCTCGAACGTCGGCGTTGCATCATTTTTTATCCACGACGACGCGTTTGGGCTCCATGTGCAAGTGTGCTTCCTGTTTCGGCGACCCCCTTTGATCGCCTCTACCCGGTGGTCCTCGTTCCGGATCCACAGCCAAGTCGCGGCCAAACGCAAATGTATTTTGGGTGTACCGGTCCGACGACAATTACGCAACGGAGAAATGCCGACGCCTGGCAGCTGTAGTATTCAAGTCTCATGACGCCTCTAATGTGACGACTCCTCTCGACTCTTCCCTTCATCTCAGTAAATATTGTAATACAACATCGCGACACTCTCCCACGCTATAGCTGTCGCAATGGAGCCCTCTTCCACCAATTCGTCAGAGCACACCCACGTCGACGAGCATGAGATGCAGCAAATACCGCCCACATACCCGACACCTTCCTTACAACCCGAACAAGCAACAGGCAAGACAAGAGTACGATTCAACAGCTCTGCCAATGTTGAAGTCCCTCCGCCGCCGCTCGAACAAATCCGTAGCTATAGCCGCGTTAGCGAGTCCGGTTCCAACGAGATCACTACCAACCAGCACACCGTCGATGCGGAAGAACTTCTAAACGCGCACAACGCTGGTGAGCTCAACGCACAAAACTTCAATGCTCTGCCATTGAGTGAGGTGGACCCTGATGGCGCATACACCGTTACAGGTAACGCCAACGGAGGCGTCTTTTACCAACTCCTCCAAGCCTACAAGACACCTGTGCGTGGCTACACAGACACATCATCAGAAGTCAGCGAGACGTCACCTTCACAAAGGCCCGGATCTTCTTCAGGCGCCTGCACCCCAAAGCGAAAATGGTACAACGCGAACAAGCCCATACAGTCCACAGAAACACTGGCCACTCTTATCGGCGCTTCAGCCAAGCTGGCGAACCCTAAGGACGAAAAGAAGGATGTCCCCCTACGCCCCCGCAACCACAGGCGAACTAGCAGTAACAACATCATCGCCAAGGTCTGGAAGGCAAAGGAAGATCAGGATGCCAAGATTAAGATCCACGTAGCCAACATTCTCAAACGACAACAGTACATCATCCGCATGTGCCGCGCCCTCATGCTCTTTGGAGCGCCTACACATCGTCTCGAAGAATACCTCGCGACCACCGCCAAGGTCCTTGAGATCAACAGCCAATTTCTCTATATCCCCGGCTGCATGATCATCTCCTTTGACGACAACCTCACTCACACGGCTGAAGTCAAGATTGTTCGTACCGCCCAGGGAGTTAACCTTGGCAAGCTCAAGGACACCCACGACATCTACAAGGAGGTTTTGCACGATGTTATCAGCTTAGATGAAGCTCTCGCTCGTTTAGACGAGGTCATCAATGCCAAGGACCGTCACCCGCGGTGGCTGACTGTACTGATGTATGGTTTGGCGAGTGCCGCGGTTTCTTGTTTCTTCAAGGCCCGGCCCATCGACATGCCTGTCATATTCGTCCTCGGAATCGTCCTAGGCCTGCTTCAGCTTGTCATCGCCCCCCTATCCAAGACATACAGCACCGTTTTCGAGATCACCGCGACGATCCTCATGAGCTTCCTTGCACGCGCGTTTGGTAGCATCAACAACGGGAACCTATTCTGTTTCTCGGCCATTGCACAGAGCGCCATCGCCCTGATTCTTCCTGGATGGTTGGTGCTTAGCTCAGCCCTTGAGCTTCAGTCTCGCGCTATCGTACCAGGTTCCATCCGACTTGTCTTCGCCATCATCTACTCGCTCTTTCTTGGATACGGCATCACTGTTGGTACCGCTATATATGGCGCCATCGACTCTAACGCTACCAACTCGACTCAGTGCCAAAGCCCGATGAACCCCTACTGGAATTTTCTCATGGTCCCGCTCTACGTCTTCTTCACGACGTTTACCGTGCAGGCCAAGTACAAGCAGATGCCAGCTATGATTGTCATCGCCTTTGCTGGCTACATCGTCAACTTCTACGCCGGAATGAAGTTCTCGTCGTCAGCGCCCATCGCCTACACATTCGGCGCCTTCACCATTGGTGTTCTGGCAAACCTTTACAGCCGGTTGCGTCACGGAGTTGCAGCCGCCGTCCTCCTGCCTGCAGTATACGTCCAAGTTCCAGGCTCTCTTGCATCGAGTGGAAGCATCAACTCTGCTCTTCAAACAGCATCTGCCCTAATTAAAGGGTCAGGGGGAGCGGCCGACGTGAGCACCTCTTCATTCCCGGCCAAACTTATCACTGACGTAATGCAGACCACAACCGACAGCTTGAACGCAATCGTCTTCAACGTCGCTGCGTCCATGATCCAGATTGCTATCGGCATCACTGTTGGTCTGTTCATGGCTGCCCTTCTTGTTTACCCCATGGGCAAGCGACGCAGCGGTCTGTGGACACTATAAAGTATTCCCCTAGTTTTTTTGTCTTGCATAGCGATAAGGCGTTAAAGGAACCCAAAATGGGAGGAGTTTTGGAGTTTTCCTGCTAATCATCTGTAGCATTTGAACACCTAGATGTTCAGCTTCGTTGGCCCACATGGAGATGAGTGGTGTCGAGGTGAAGTGTGAAGGTAAGCTCCGTTGCAACATCATCGACCCCGAAGCACTTGTCGATGCGCCCTGCGACAACTATTTCCAAGCAACAAGCAGTTACGCCATCCCCCGTATTGGTTTCTTTGCGACATCCAGGCCATAAAACCCCTACTCGGACTTTGGACCCCCCTACCTATGCAGCATTGGCCCTAGCAAACAACCCACCACACGATATCAGCTGCCCAGACCACCGCACCATACACCCGAACCTAGACCTTGCGCCCAATCCTTCCTTTGATCGACCTTTGCTCCATGCATTCACCCTTTCCCAAGGCCCAGTAGCTCTCCTGCACATCCGCGTTCATTCTTCCCTTCTGTGATGCTTCGCTCATGTTCACGAAGCTCACAGAGGTGATGTTGCCATGCATTGTGTATACACGTTGATATATACAGCTCATCCCCAACCACACAATTACTAACTGTAGACCTATCGTACAGCTTGTCGTGAGATGTTACATGTTGATTGATGCGAAACAAGAGGCACAATAGTGCACATGACACGGGTAGTTATGATATGGAGGGAGGAGATTGTGCCTATAGCACTTTTGTAGAGAATTCAAATATTTGTGCCGAAAACTCTCTTTCTGCTCCCTGCTGTCACCTGGAGTCCTCTAGCACAGTGAAAAAGTGGTTTTTTGTGATGTGTAGTTTGTATCTATGCGTCTGAACGGGCACTTAGTCTTGAAGGAAGAAATACAAGCCGCACATTCAACATCGTGCTAACCTTTGTACAGCATATGCGAGAGTGACGAGTTGTAGGGCGTACACTGTGTAAGCTCGCTAGTGTGTGTAGCAAATGCAAGACGGATGACACGCATAGAAGCCCGTGCCTTCTGCCTTCTAGAAAGGACATGTAGTTTGGATAGGGTCAGTGCTCAATACTAGATGCCAATGGGACACGAAGTATTGCATGGGTGACGTAGTGTGAGAGTCTGTGCCCGGTGACATCACTCCTTGTGTGGGAATAAGAGAGGCTGGTGAGTGGCTGTATAGACTCCCATGGCTGTCTAGCCGACAACGGGTGTAGACATCAGCAGGAAAGAGCCGCTAACGAAGCCTCTCCAAGCCTCTAGCACAAGCCTTCGTATCTGCAGCCCTATGTCAGGCGGTGATGAGGCTCTGGCGCTTGGAGATCTCCGAAGCTTCCCCAGTGTCCAAGCGGAGGGAGTCACCTTCTGGAAAACCTTCAGAATGCGCACTGACGAACGTGAGGCGTAAGCCTATTGGATACCGAAAGGAACAGGCCTTAGATCGGGTCCGAAACACGTAGCTCGTCTTCTGATTCGTGTTGGGAAGCTTACGCGAGACGGGTACGCAGTCAGCGCCATGGTGGTGGTGGTGATGGTGGTGGTGTCTTCGGTGCCAACTCGGATCCGCTTGGAAACACAGTACAGAGCTTGAGATTAACTTTCTGTACACCTGGAGAATCTGACAAGATACGGGACGTTTCGGGGGCTGGATGTACTTATGCTTGCGGGTCCACAGTGTATTCTGGATATCTTCTAATGTTTCGGGGGCCGTCTGTACGTTAGCAAGCGCCGTTTTCAGATGGAGTAG